CTATTGAGCACTGTTTAGATCATATTACCAAAGATTGGAAAGTATTAAAAAATCTCTTAAACTGTAGTAATGAAGATTTGGCTTTAATATTACACGATATACTTCATTCGATTACATTTTATCCGATTACACAAGATGGTCAATTTCAAATCCCATCACAAGCTGTTTGTATGCTGGTGATAAATTAATATTATTTAAAGATGAACGCAAATTATTAACTATTTTCTTTTCATTTGCATTCAAGTTGCGTGTCGCATTAATTATATATAGGTTGGCTACAATAGCCCCAATAAAAGAAATGCGCAAATTAAATTTGTTATATGATTCAAGCTTCTTTAAAAAGTCCTTTAATTTTGGTTTGTTCAAAGCATCCTCTGCTTCGTCATATTCTTTAAACATAAAGTATGGATTAAGAGGTAATCGAGAATTATCATCTTTATTCCATGGTAAATCAGAAAGCCATGGTAGAGTCGTTTGGTTAAGATTGAAGAATTGTTTAAGATCACTCATTGTGAAACTGCGAGCTCGTAAATTCTTTAGAAAATAGAACTTGAGCGATTGGATTAATGGATGTGGTTTCTGCATCAATTCATTTAGGATGAACATGAACTCATTTGAATCAATAAAATTAAATTTTATCGGTTCAGTAAAAGCTTTGTCTAAGGTTGCTGATGACCATAAATCATCAACAAACTGCTTTAATAGAGCTATGGCACAAACAAGTTGTAATGGTTTGACGTTAATGGCACATAAAACCTGTATAGCATCTTTAAATAATCCTTTAAGTCTTTGCAACTCAGCCCTGGCAAAAAATCCTTTTTGAATAACATCACAACACAATGCTGCTAACTGTGAGTCATGATTCCTTTCTAATTGTCGGTTTATTATATTGAGTCTTGATGAAAAATTTAATACTTCATTTGCATTCCTTATTATAGTTGAGAACCAATCCTTCTCTTCCGAACGAAAAATGCAATGTATTGTAAAGGCCGTGAAGTGTGATGATTGAGCTTGTGCAAACAGTTGCTCATAAACATACAACCGATCAGGTGATTCAAGCGGAATAATCTCTAATATTTGTAAAATAAAATTTTGTTTTGCAATGCTATTCTTTGTATTGTTTTTTGTATTGCCAATTATTTTAAAAATATAGTTTGTAAAGTCGCTATTTGAACCATCATAATTGCGTCCAAGGTTAATAATTGTCGAAAGATGATTCGGATAAACTATTTTTTTTGATACAAGATCGTTGCATATATTAAGAAGATGAAGAAAGGGTGAGGAATCCGTTGACAATTCTGAACAAAGGTGAATAACTTGAGAGGCTTCAATCTGCCATTCTTGCAATTCTCTTTTATCGTTCATCATGTGGAAACGGTCTAGCGTTAACTGAATAGCTAAATCTGAAAGATCTTTTATAGAATTCTTGAAATCAGAATCATCACTTATTTCTTTGTCTAATTCATTAGTAATTGAAGAACATAGTTTAGCTAACTGTAATTCAGCAATTATAATATCTGATTTAGCCCACCAATAAGTATGAAGTCTTATAGGATTCAGGATTAGTTTTTTACCCAAACGTCGTAGTAGTAAAAGATCGATAAGTTTACAATTCTCAATGCCTCCAAGTCCAGAAGAGATAAAAGTAAGAAAATCTTTGTAATATAAGTCATTTGATTTTTTTAAGTGTCTCATGTTTAAGGGCAGGAATATTTGATAAAATGTTTTGGAACCTTTCAAAGCAATTAACAAGTACTTCGTTCGATAAATTTCCTGTAACATTATCGATATTTTTTTTATCTTCAAGCATCTTAACGTCCTCCAAATAAAGCTTTTCATAATTATTAATTTGTTTGATAATATAAAATGAGAATGGGAATTCCATGCTATACGGGCCATTTGTTATAGGATATCCATCAGGTTTAGCATCCATCAGGGTTTCAATGTCAATAATACTATCATCGTTAAACATCTGATACCAAAATTCAATAAGATGATTGTCACCGTTTTTCCGCTCTAAATTTAGTAAAGTTTTGAGAGCAGACAGCCGTTCAAGTACGCATAACAACTTTGCAATATATTTCCTCACAATAATTCGAACATAAGCTCTAAGAGCAGATGCAAATGATGAATGTAGATAAAGTATTTTTTTGTCAGAGGCAACCTGCAACTGCCAATCTGCGGAAATGTTTTCATTTAACCATTTCAATGTTCTTTGTTTTAAAACTTCTATAAATCGGGAATGTTGAGGAATTTCATCAACAAGGTACCTAATGAAGAAATTTATTATTAAATATAAATTCAGAAAGCTTAATTAGACAAGAAATACTCACTTAATATGCTCTACGGATTCTAATGTAGATGGATACTTAATGCAGAGGAGACACCATAATAATTCCTGCTCTAAGATCTCTTCAAATGGGAAAACTGAATTCATAACATTTGTGATCTTTCCTTGCATAAAAATTTGCATGTTTTCCTCTTCCGGTGTCAATGTTCCAACAGTAATTTGATTCCATCCACATATGAAATCGAATGAAACAGTAGTGGCTTTCTGTTCACGATGAATATGTAAGATGATACAAGCATGCTTAATTGGTATGTTAATGTCTACTTTCCGTTTTTTTTCCAAATATTTTGTTCTTATTTGTTCGATAATGAATTTCGCCAATTTAATGCATCCAAAATTCACTGTTGATAGATCGCATTGTAGAACTAAAAGTTCATCGTTACTATCTAGCCAAAAATGTTTTATTCGATCTTGAAGTTGAGCTTCTGTTTTGAATGTCGAAAGCTTATCCACTTGGCAAGTTACCAATGCATCTAAGCAAGATTTAACATCAGTATTAATGTTAGAAAATGTATTTACGATGATTAATTGACCATCTTTATTTTCTCGACTTTTTCCATCACCAAGCAATAACCTCAAACATGACTCAATATCATCATGCAGACCACTATTAAAATAGGAATTATTCAATTCAATAATTTCTTGAGGATTTCTCATGTTTAAAATGGATTGCCTAGCTCGCACAATACCGTCTAATGATGCAATGGCTATTAACCTCTCCTTACACTTTTTCAATAATAATTCTTCGTCTACATCTTTTTCTTCCTTCTTGCATTGGTCATACACCAAGCTCTGAACGGTTTCTTCTTTATCAAATCCTATAAAAATGTCTTTTTCGTTGAACTCATTTGCTTTTGCACTTTGTAATTTTGATATTTGATGAACCCATTTAAGCAAAACTTCACAGAGTTCTTTTTGGCGTTCAGAGAGTATATCATTAATTGTTAATCTCTGTTTTTCAAATCGGTTGAGCAGAGGTGGATCTGTATGTTCGAGTTTATCCTCATCCATTGCCAGAATACATTTGAAGTCCGGGTGTACATATAACATTGGATTAGAATAGGCTCCAAGTGCAACGCGTGCGTAATACTTTGTGTCTTCACGGTTTCCAAGAGTAATATAATTCTGATTCCACAGATCGTAAAGACTTCCTAAAAACGTGTAAAAATATTATACTTAAATTAAACTATTTTACAGAATTTTTTAATTTTGCAAAGTATTCTTTATTATTATACATATATTATTATTCTCCCGTTAACATAATTGCAACCATATTTCATAATAATTCAAGTTTCTGTAAAGTGATTATGGGTGATAAAAAAAGTGTGTGCATACCATAAATAATGTCAAGATCTGAGAGAATTAAAGGTCTTCCTGCTTCAACACACATCTAAAAAACACAATATTAATTTATGCCAATTACCAAAATTTTCACGTTGGATCGATAAAATTTATTAAATACTTTCCATAATCTTGCTTAAAACTGCGTATAAATAATCACCATCACCATCATCAGGAAATTGTGACCCGCATAACACGACAGGATCTAAATGTTGCGCTCGTACATGATATGTTAAGATGTTGACTAGGGAATCGCTTTTACCAATGACCATCAAATGCCTTGTGTCCTTTCGGTTCAGATTCTCATTTATAAGCTTTTCTACGGAAATCGATTTGTATGTGTAATTCTTACTATTACAGTCAGGGAATTTTCCAAATTTGGATGTCGACGATCATTCCTAATTTGGTAACAATCGACGATCAGATTGTTCT